TAGTAAGCCCTCCAGGCGGTTCTCACACACACTAGCGCTGAGGACCCTGATGGAGTGAGTGCTTGAGCACACCTGGTTTGAAATCCGATTGCTTGGGGTGGAATCTTGGCTCTGTCATTTATTGGCTGTGACCTCTTAGGTATCAGTTTCTTAACTCACAGTTTTGGAGATGGGGATTGTGTTTTGGAGAGAATTGAGTCAATTAAAATACATTAGACTGCAATGAATGCAAGGCACTTTGTCTGTTAGTATTACATATTACTGTATTGTTATTATCATAATTTCAACAATCAGTCTCCAGTTTGTTTGCTTGGTACCCTGAAAAACCTTGTTCTCAAGCAGCTCACAGTCTAGTAAGGAAAGCAATACCAATAATGTCAATGTAATATGCCATGGCAATGAGAAGTGTCCCTACAGGTACAGAAGCAATGATGGGGAGGAAGGGAGTTTGAGGAGACAAGTAAGGGACTCCCTCAGCAGCAGTCTCAGAGGTCAAGGGAGATCACTGCTATTATTTTTTTGAGGCTTCTAGTATAATAAAGAGTAAACTTTAAATTTAAAAAAATGTCTGGCATAGAAGTCATGCAATCACATTTTGAAGTCAGAAGGATTCAGAGTGGAAGCTGAGCTTTGACACTTTATGGCTTTTGGCAAATTAATTGTCTCTTTGAGCTTCGGTTTCCTTATCTCCATAGAAGTCTAATAACTAGGATGTGTGAAGAACTAAATTAGACGATGTATAGAGAACTTTTAGAACACAGCACTTAATATGCACTAGCTACTGTTCCCATTCTTCAGCTAAGTTTTAAGCACTACCTTGGTCTTCTCCATGCCTCTACTTCTTTATCTATAAAGTGGAGACATTCACTAATCTGTATTATACAGCAGCTGAAGGTACTCAAAGAGACACTAGCCTTGAATGCTTTTTAAAAGTCAAAAACACTGTCTCCATGTTACAACTTTTAGTGTCCATCTTAGAGATGAAACATGCAGTACCCTTCTGCAGCACTGTAAGCAGGACTTAGAATGTCTTCTTTTTGGGTTAAATTTGAACATCCTTGGCTACTACAAGGGATCTGACCCTCCCAATAGCCCCTACAGATTCTAGCTCTCACTTTTAATTTTTATTCCCCCGTTGTCTTCTCTTCACAGTTTTCCATCAAAGCAGGATCCTTCATTTTATTTCTCTTCCGTCACAGTCCACCTTTATTTATTGCTGAGGCGTTGTTCTTTGCAGGTAGAAGTGGTTTCCTTTCCTAGCCATCAGTCATGAGTGAGGAAGGAACATCTACTACTTGGGTGAAGACCCCTTGGGATCAGGGGTCATTGGAACGTTCTTTAAGTTTGATATATGGCTAAAATTTTATTTATGTACATTACAAATGGTATTTTCTACTGAGGTTAAATTTAGGAATGTTCCCTGGTTTTTGAACTTTTCCACTCTCGATGCCCTTTGTTTCTGTAGTCGTACCATCAGTCTTCTGTTCTTGATTTTTGTTATTGTTGTTTTTTGCCTTAGCTTCTTGGCAAGCCTTCGGTCATAGAAACTTCTTGGCCACCAAAAGCTTGCAGCAGGGTGGCAGACAGGAAACATATTTCATTCTAGCTCTTTCTTAAAGACTGAAATAACGCACAGTTTCTTTCTGGGGTCAAGAACTCCAAGAGCAGAGAAATGTAATTTAAGTTAAGATCATTTACATAGAGGTTCTTGCATCATTACAATAAACCCCAGGAAATAATAATAACAACAACAATAATAATAAAGCTCAACCCAAGCTCTACTCAGTCAATCACTCTCTCCCATAACAGTAACATTTTCCTTGGGAGAGACTGGGCTGGGGAGGTATTTTAGCAAGCTGACCTTTGGGTTTTTGGAGAGGAGGTAAATGTTTATGAACTCCTACGCAGAACCATCCCTGTATGTTTTTCTCTTTTACTCAAGCTTGAATTTTACCAGTTAAGTTTACCCTTCTATTACGAATGATCCTTTTTTTTTTTGCAACATCAAGTCCCTTGTGAATTTTTTTCATATTTTAGCTGTAGAACCTCTTCTGGATTTTAGGTGGTTTGGTTTAATTAGCTTTAATAATATTTTATAACAGTATTATGTTAGAAAGTCATGTTCTCTCCTTTTCTATTCAATAATATTTCAGCTTGAACATTTGTGATGACTTCTGCTAAGATATGACTCTAAAATACAGTCTGATACTTGCGTACTTAATGGTTGTCTCCAGACATACGAGATACAAAACTAAGAGGCATAATCGCACACGCTGTTGAAAGTTCTGCTGAAGGTTGTGTCTCAGTGTTGGAGATGGCTGTTGCACTCACTGGCTTCTGAACAGCTTTCCTATTTGTCTATATTCTGTAGACAGGTCCTTCCTGTGAATAATAGGAAGACCCGCTTAAATCCTATCACTGTCCTATGTTGCTATATCACTTTAAAACTTGGGTTTTGGTTTTCTTCATTGTTCATCCCCACAGTGGCCCTCCCAGCTCTAACATTTTATGGTTGTGATGGATGTATCAGCAAAATTACTAAGTGATTACTTCAAATTGCAATGTTCTCTTTTTCCTTAAGAGGAAAATTAATGAAATAAAGAGTTACTTTGGGTGAAAAAAGTCTAGCCTCATAAGTCAAATTCTTTTGTTAACCTAATTCTTTGAATTCAGAAACCGTGTTGAATAGGATTTCTTTGATTTAACATGTAATTCTATTACTGTACATTTTTTAAAAATGAAGATTTCTGTAAGTTGTAGAAAAATGAAATACTGAAGTGGTGAAAGACATTGTTCTTTCAACCGAAATATGAGGAAGGCAAAAGGGCAAAATAATAATTCTGGAAATAGACACAGCAGCGCCTCACTGAATATCACACTGCCCACTAACGCACGGAGTGTCAGTGAAGGGCGCATGGGGATCCGGCTGGGGCAGCGCCTCTGGGAACACACCAACACTGTGGGTAATAGGTGACACTTCGGTTGCTAACAAACTAAAGAACTAAACACAATAATTTAGCTGGAGACAGTTAACTTGAGAGTCTGTCCTATGCACATAATACCCTGGGTAACTAATTCAGCACTTGGGAATTAAGGTCAAGACAGCCATGCTCTTTATGATAACAGCCTAGAAAAATTTTCCCATGTAAAAGCAGTCACTTCTGACCTTTCTCCTGAGCAGAAGGATGACAGAAACTGATAAATGAGAAATAGGTGAATAGAAGACAGGACACTTTCCTTGAACAAACAGCAGTTTTATTCCTGTGCTACTGAGAAGGTGTGTAAAATACCATATAGAATTTTTGACCATGGTTACAAATATGAAAATATATTAAGCAAATACATAATTTAAATAGAAAGGGTAATGAAGTTCTTTGCTCAAACAGAGTTGGTTAGAAACACAACACTGTAAGGGAGGTACTAGAGTATGAAAAAATAGAATCCATCTATTGCCATTTTAAATAACCAGATTTCCAGAGAAAGAATACAGGATATTAAAAATATAAAAGTGCTCTATTATAGAACATAAGCTCAGTTGCTGGGTTTATTTACATTATTTGTTGAAGCTTCACACAAGTCGAGGAACAGTCAGATGAACCTCCATGGACAATAGTGTTATTAGACACTGACTACTTCACATCCAAAGTCTTGCTTGGGCCAGGAGCAATTCCACTCAAAAAGTGTGTGTTGAATATCTCTAAGTCGTTCACTAATTTCTACAAGATGGGAGGAGAGAAGAGGTTAAAGACTTCGTCCTTGTAGAATTTATAAGCCTGGCAAGTCCCACTGGGAGAGCCGAGATCAAGAACTCTTCAGATAAGAACATTGCGCACCTGGCTGTCAGTGTAGCTGAGACTAGGAAATTTCACCAAGGCCATGCAGACTTCCCCACTTGCAAATGGAATGCTGTTCAACTCTATGATAAACGCCTAAAGCCACAATTGCCTATGTTCCTTTCTTACTGGGATGCTTATCTACTTATTCTGCTATTAAAATACATCTCAAACATAACAGAAAGCTAACGCTTAGGGTAAAAATAGTATTTCTTAAAAGAAATTACTTAAGGCAGAAAACAGCCATAACTAACCTTTCTTGTGCATATTCTAGAAAGGACACATTACATTTGTCAGACATTATTCACAGTTTTGTACAACATCTTTAGGTGTCAAATATAAGATCACGTACAGAGGCATTATAGGTTATAAAAATAATCTTTGGTAAATTTGTTAATACATTTATTTCCATTCCCTAAACTTCTATTTTAGGAACATTCACCAACAATTTCCTTATTTTATGAATGTATCTATATAGACAACCTCTTTAAAAAACCAAAATGCTTTATTATATTGCATACATTTATTTCAAGGGAACTCCTCTACAAGTAAAGAGTATTCTTTTAGTCAGAAATATTTCCATTGCTAGAAACATTTTTAGAACAGAACAGATTTTTGTATTATCATGGCTGCATCAAATGATAACCTGCATTTTGACTAAAACGGCCATTTTCAAAGGCCTCATCCACTACAAGAATCTATGTTCAGAATTCCAAAATCAGTCAATTTAGTCAAACACCTGGTCAAATTACAAAACGAAAGAAATCGGCTCAATTGCTTCATCAGCTAAATCAGTGATTTTTCAACTGGAGTGCACTGATGTGCCACAAAATTTTTAAAACACACAATACCTACTCTTGTATCCCTTAGATTATAAAATGACAGCAGCCAACACAATAGCCATCCAGTGCGAATGAATCAAAATTATAATTTTTTTTTTGTCAGATTGGCAAAAAATATTTTTTGGTGTGCCGCAGAATTTTAGTAATTAGTTTATGTGTGCCTTGAGATGAAAACGGTTGAAAATTGCTGAGCTGAATCATCTGGTCAACGTCATCAAAGTGATTTAATTCCCCAAAGGATAATAGGTGCTAATAGAAACATGACATTTCTAAAGAACAGTCTGGATGCACGGAAGGGCTGCAATTTTCCCTTCCTGATGATGTCTGGTTAGATCTCCTTTCCTAATATTTTCCTTTCCTTGCAGCATTTCATTTGCTTTCAGCAGCCATTGTTTACAGATTTTCCGTTAAAATACTCAGAAACTTAGGACATTTGGGCTGAAGTCGGTTCCACTCTTCAGAACTGAGGTAGGGCTGAGGGCTTGCTCAAAGCCACCTGGAGGAGGAGCAACCATTCCTTCTTGTCACTCTGACCAATTACTTTCTTTCCTCAATGAAAAGGAACCTGGAAAGTCCTCGAACTGCTGCCTCGAACAAGCAGCTTATTATCTGTTGTTGTTCACCAGGTCAATTGGTCTGGCTCATGTGTGTGAACTTCAGTCTGGAGGACTCCAGAGTTGGGGCTTGGATCCTACTACTTGCTGTCAGACACATCTGGCAGGTTATGGTTTCAGGATTCTGACCTCAAAGGCCCAGAAAGCCAACTGAATGCAAAGTTAATAGATGGCCGGTCATTTTCTTGCAAAAGGTAAGAGGAATGTTTAATATAAGAAACTGCTTCCTGAGACACTAAGGCAAGAGAATCAGACTGTGAAGTGTAACATGTGAGGTCTGTTTCTGTATTGCTGGACAACTGCTTAGTAGTTTTACATTATTTTCACACTTCCTTTTGGGTTTTCTTCCAAGACATAATAAAATTAGCTAAAGACCCCCCCAAACAAAACTATCTCCAAAATGTCTGTGTGCTGTGGCCATTTTAGTATTGAAAAGTGTAGTCATGGTTGTCTCTTCTATGAGATGGAGCCTGAGAAGATTACAAAATGCTAATGAGTGTAAGGAGATAAAATGAACAGAGAGTAAAAAGGTATTCTAAAAGAGAAGTGGGCAGGCAGGTAGTGAGTGAAAAAGAGGACCCCATAATCTTTCGGGGATGGCAAATCACGAAGGACCAGTGTGTGTAGGCCCAGACAGGGAAATGTGCCTTTGAAAAATCAGATTCAAGAGCTGAAAACTGGCTGCTATCCAGAGAACAACAGAATGATGATACGAAATTGACTTAATGAGTAGAGATTAAAGGAGTTAATTATAAAGAACTTGGGTAAATAATGATTAAGATGCAAGACGGGCCTCTCCCAAGGTTGGATAAGTCAGAACACTTTGAAGATGATGATTAAAGTGTGCCACACAGGTGCACAGACAGGATGCCCACCAGGACAGGAAACGGAGTGTTTACCAAGGCAGAACACGGGAAGGGATTGAATTAAAATACATCCAATTGAGCTGAATGTCAAGGAAACCTTTTTTTCCTCCCTCCTAAATTTAATAACTAGACCAACTAGATTATGTATTTAGTCTTTGGTGGCGGTGGGAGGGAAGTTAGGGAAATAATTGTTGCTAAGGAGATTTAAAATTAGATGGGTGGAGGGTAAGAATAAATATTTCCTAGATTAGACCAAAAGAACATACAGTTTTCCCTTGTGTCCATTTCCACGACTCTAATTCCATCCCAGACACACCAGGTATGTGGGTGTGATTGGCTGCTACAGATGTGTAGTTTTTTGTGGTTTCAATTTTTGTTTTGTGCAGTTAATTGCTCCCTTTTCTAGATCCGGTGTTTGCTACGGACGCAGCATCAGCACTGGCCAGTGTGGCCTGGGGAAGGCTGCCCACTGCTGTGGGCTGGCGTGGCCACCTCGCTGCCTCCTTGAGCCCCTCTTTCGAGCTTCACTGAAAATAGTAACAGCAACCTAACTTTGTTATTGTGCTGCATTCCTTATGTCAGTAGAAACGTGTAGTTTCTAGGACACGGCCTAGCAGGCTGCAGGTACTTACGAAACGTTTCCTAGATGAATGAAAGGCCAAGAGGAATTTGTCTTTCCCTGTGTTGGTGTGCTTTGTGCTGAGCAACATTAGTCTAAAATGCTGTGGGTTATTTTTGTTGCATTTACCTTTCAATGCAGGGGAAGTTATTCCTAGTAGACGCTACATCTCCCAAATCTCTGACTTCCATTTCCTCCCTGCCACACTTACATATATGTTGTTCCTTTTCACTTTTAGAAAATCCAGCTAGTTCCCTGAAACAGAATCAAAGCCTCACAGTCATTCACGAAGGTGCTGAGCACAAGGAAACTGTGGAAACGTGGAACCCTCCTATTATCATCTTCATTCTGACAAAGTTTCCCTCTGTTTTCATGCATCTCAAATAACCCTGGAAACTTCTCTGGCTTGGGTGTGGACTTGCCTAGCTATAAGTAACTATTTTGGATACATGTAATGATTTTCAGTTACTATACCAGTTGCACCCATCTGAGTACTTATGGAACTTTATGGTAGGTAGCAAAAATACACACTTTGAAAAGAGGGGTTCTCTTTGCAAATGAAGCCGTGAGATCAACAAGCTTACTCTCTAATTCTTCAGTTTATTCCAAAGAAATCTGCAGTGAGGAAAAGGCCAGCACTCCTGGCCCGTTCTCAGGCAGCCCCGAGGGTCCCACACAGGCGCTTCCCGGTTCTCCCAGGAGGCCCCTCGGCTGCACCTGGGAGAGGGCCAGGCCCGCCTTCCGACTCACTGAAATCTAGCGGAGTCAAAACAGGCACAGATTCGGAAGATCCACTTGGGAGAGTAGGTAGTGTCTTTTATATGAAAAACAACTTAAGGTGACTGTGTAATATTTGGACATCAATGACTTACTAAGAGTCTTTTGGAAAATTTTATACTAAGCACCACTGAGTCTTTTTACAAAAATTAACGGTATGTGATATTTATGGGCATTTCCATAAAAATATTGATATTAGGTCCTTTGATCAGGAGTATAATCTGCCACTACAATCTTCTTTTGATGGGAAAACCAAGTATGACCGGCATAATTTTGACTTTTCCAGGAATGCAGACAAAGACCAGTGTGTGCAGGTTGACCAACACATCCGTGACGGTAAGGGCACGCGTGCCCACGCTCCACACTGTGGCACAGTGAACAACCCCCCTATCACTACGGATGGTGCTCTCAGTTTGATTACGTTTACAGGCAGGGATCCAGGTGGCATTCCTCTTGATGTAAGAATTCATCACTTCTCTTCACACCCTTCTCTACCACAGCCCTCCACACTGCAGCCCGGCCTTGCACTGCAGCCCCTGAGCTGACTACTTTGGCTTGAGCCTCTGGCAGGAGAAAGGCGCGAGAGAATCCACTTTAGGCACAGCCATCGCCTTCGGCTTCGGTGCTACTTAATCCCTTCCCCCTCTGCCCAGTCCTTTTTTTGACTGTCCTATTTGTCCAAATAGCATTTGGATCATCTTTGGATCCCAAGATTCATAGGACAGCAATGCAGCAAAGCCAGCATGTTATATGCTCTCCCCAGCCCATCCTTTCTCCTGTTCAGTAAATACCAAAACTGCCAAAAACCAGGGTCCAGGGGATCGCTTCTGCAGCCACGTCCACATCCGTTTACAGCAGTCCTGTCATACAGGTTGTATTAGTTTCTGTAGAACAACCCATGGACACTTTGGTGTGGAAAATAGTATTATATAAAGCTTAATATTAAACATTATGAAAAAATACATATTTACAGAAGAAACTACAAAATACAGCTATGTACAATAATATCTGTTACTTTTAAATTACATAAATTCTTTAAAATTCTCCAGATTAATAAATTATACATAGTATCAATAGAAATAGTTGGCACCTGTGTAGGGCATGAAGCGAGTTAAAAAAAAATCACACAGTGAATAGCTTTTCTCCAGGATAGCTTCGGGTGCATCCTCAGTGCCTAGGATAGCCCGCATCTGAAAGGAAGGACACTGTAATTAGAGCTGGTAGCAGGGCACCTCACAGGTGCTGTTCTGCTTCTGAAAATTACAAATGGGAAAGACCAGTGAAAGTGACTAAATCTCAATATAGTTTAAGGTGAGACGAGCCCTGTGGGGGCCTGGTCATTCCATTCAGAACCATCTCGAATTGGAAAGGACTAGTGATTCTGGGCCAAGCCCTGTGGTTTCACAGATGCGCCCACAGGCCTAGAGAGGAAGAATAGCTGAGAGTTACACAGCTTGTTAATGCTATTTATCCTAGAGCTAGGACCTGAATCCTAACATTCAGATGCCTGGTAGCTGTAGCATCCTCAGCTTCTTTCAGGAGCACCCGGGATTACTCTAAAAAAAGACTCTTGAGCAAGTCAAAACAAGACAAAGGGACCTCCCAGCTCCCTCCTTCCTGGAGCTTCTTAAAGAACCTGACATGCAAAAACCTTAATTTACTATACAGATAAATTAGGGGGTAATTATTTACAATACAAAAGGATTATCTGGTTACAAAGGACTCCTTTAAATAGCAGTTCTCTCTTGTATTTGTGCTTCACAGTTTACCAACCAACATTTCACATACTGGCTAATGGGTGGGTGCAAAGAGTGCAGAGAACAAAACAAAATTGAAGATCTTTTAGAAATGGAGATAAAATAGCTCTGAAATAATGTGTTTTGTTTTTTTAAGAAAGGTCTGATGTGTAGACGCTGTCCCTGTGGCAAGGGCCTGAGATCTCTGCCACCAGCTCTGTGAGTGAGCCTCCAGCCCCCTCCCTTCCCCCAACCCCCACCCTCCAGAGGCTGGTAGACATGGCCAATGTCTTGACTGCAACCTCATGAGAGCCCCTGGGCCAGAACCACTTTGTTCAGCCCCTCCCAAATTCCTGATCTACAGAAACTGTAAGATAATAAATGTTTGGGCTAATTTGTTAGGTGGCAGCAAATTACGAATGCAATGATTCCGTGTGCTGAATGAAGCTTGAATGATGGTCTGCAGTGGGAAGAGGCATGCAGACCCTTCATTTGTCAAGTAAGTATTGTCTGACCAAAGCAGTGCCTTATAGTTTATATATTTTTCCTACTGAATTTTTTTTTTATTGCTTAAAGTATTACAAAGGGTATTATTATGGACACATATGTAATAATACCCTACTGAATTTTTTATTGAAAAAAAAAAGTTACGTGCTTGTTCTAGAAAGTTTAAAAAACCATAATGTGAAAGAAAACCATATATTATTTTATTGGTCAGAGAAATTTATTTTACTATCGTGATATATTTCTTTCCAGTCTCCCCTCCCCCCACTATGTGTTGTTTACATTTCTTTTAAATTCTGCTTTTCTTACTTATAAAAATATCCATGTTATTATATCTTCAAAAATATAGTTTTTAAAGACCGAATTGTATGCTGTTCAGTGAATGTACCATGGTATACTTAGTCCTCCATTATTAAACATTTAGTTTTTTTCACTCAAACTTTTAACTATGAAAAGCTTCATGCATAAATTTGTCAGTACTTAGGATGGAAGTAGAGATACCGGCTGACAAGATAAGAACATATTAAGAACTTTGATACATATGGGCAAGTTTTTCTCCAAAGGGATTTTACAATTTGAACTCCCAGTTGTGATTTCAAAGCATCCTCCCCAGCAGTGATCCTTAGCACTTAGAAATGTTAAGCAGAGTCTTTAATAGAGGGCACCCCAGGCCAGGTAGGAAGAGCGAGCAGTGGCATCAGTGTTACCTGTGGGAGTCCCCTCCCCACTCCGCCTCTCTCCCCTGCTGCCCTCTGGGAGGGCCTTCTCCCGCCTTTGGGTAGAGGAAGACATAGGTGGTGCCTGTTGGAAGAGCTTTAAGTCTTTAATGGTTTCCGGGTCAATTATATCTTGATAAATGAACCTGTAAGTTAGTGAAGTAAGGTCCTACCTCTGTGATACTCTGGATTCACATTTTCATAGATTGGAAACAAGGGGTTTTCCTGTTCGCTCCGTAGCTTCCTTGCTCTGAGGACATCTCTTACACACTGATGTAGGTAGACATACTGACACTGTGAAAAGTAGAAAACATGTCAGAGAAAGCAAGTCCTCAGTACCAAAAAGATGAGAGATTACCACAAAACAAGAACAGTACTGACATCCTGTAAGATTAGCAAATTTCTTGATCACCACTTCACTAGTGGTCTCTACTACATAGAAGAGTGACAGCATTCTATTACCACTAAGATGAGAATGATAATGGGCAAAGAGGTGGTGTTCATTCCTTTTTCTTAAATGCATACAACACATATTTATAGAGTATGTTTTATGGAGGCCAACTACTATCTCTGGCACATGGTATGTTCTCCACAAATATTTATTAAATAGATGAATTAATGCCAAACACCGTGCTATACATTTTACATGTATTATTTCATATTTTGACAACCTTGTGAAGTAGATATAATCATCCATATGAATGAAGACTCAGAGAAGTTAAGTAACTTCTCCAAGGTCACAAAGCTAAGAAATGGAACCCTAGGATTTGATCCTGAATTGGCCTCAAACTTCATGTTCTTTTCACTATACCAGTTTTCTTAGATGAATCCTAGTTTCATTATATTATCGAATGACAAAAGCATGTCACTGTGTATTCTGCTGTTTTATTTCCTTTCTTTTGGGAGTATAGTGAGAAAAAGGAAAAGTATACAATAGACACCAATGGGACTATCAGTTCTTTGAGGGCAAGTTTAGTGTCTTATCTGTCTTGATTCTCTCAGCATTTGAGTCAGGCTCATGGAAGAATCTCAAAGACGTTGGCTGACAGCAGAGAACTACAAAGAGTTACACAGTAGGGATAGCCGCACCTGTCAACTATCTGAGAGCTAACTACTTCAAAAACAGAAACAGTCAGTGTTTGGTGACTATAAAGACACCATGAAGACCTCATAGGACAGTGATGGCGAACCTCTGACACACGTGTCAGAGGTGACACGCGTGTCAGAGGTGACACGCGAACTCATTTTTTTGGTTGATTTTTCTTTGTTAAATGGCATTTAAATATATAAAATATCAAAAATATAAGTCTTTGTTTTACTATGGTTGCAAATATCAAAAAATTTCTATATGTGACACGGCACCAGAGTTAAGTTAGGGTTTTTCAAAATGCTGACACGCCGAGCTCAAAAGGTTCGCCATCACTGTCATAGGAGATCAGTCACAGGCAGCCAAACTTGTGCAATGGGCCCCATTCCTTACCACCAACTGAGCTTTCTAATAAGGGAATGTATGTCCATGTAAACTTGGCACTTGGCCTTGGGCTCCCTTAATGACATAGCAACGGC